CTCACGGAGATGTGATTTGAGATCAAGGACTCAGGGAGCCACACAGTGAAGCTTCCACATATGGGGAGCTTGAGGGAGGCCACAGTTGTTCTAAGTCACCCATGGCCTTTATAGTACCCAGTTTGTGTCACTGCAAGTGGACACCGGGATCCAAATAACTAGGTGATATGGCCCAGGCTTCTTTCTCTGCTCTCACCACTTTTCAAAGACCCAAGCTTGGCTACTGCATGCCTGTCACATGGTCCCGGCTACCTCCAAGGGACAAGAATCTCAGTACCTCCAGAAAGTGTCTGTCGCCAAGCCTTTTTTATAATTTAGCTCACAAAACTTATGTATCACCAACCACATGGGGCTAGCATATGCTGGGCTGCTGCGTCCTGGGTGCAATGACACCCTGGTGACCTCGGGCTGCTGGGCAGGAAGGCAGTGCTATATGAGCAGATGGACAAGGCTCAGCCTGTCATTCAGAGATGCTGGGCCTGCACTTGCACTGGCTCTCAGGAAGTACAACTATTTATACCAGATGAAGTGTGCCAGCCTGGGACATCTGCTCCTTCTGCTGGAGTGGGTTGTGTTCATCACAGGGCCCCAGCTTGAACCCCCATCAGCCCCATCTCTGCCCCACCCTGATCTCCAAGTGGACAGATCATCCTGGGGGATGGTGGAGGATGTTCTGTTTTCTCTCGTCTTTCTCTTTCAGATTCAGCTTCTAGGAAAGGAGGGTGTTTCCTTGGGGGAAGTAACATGAAGTCTGGCTGCCCCCTCAGAACTGTACTGGTTTCATCCACTCTTTCTGAGCTGCTCTCTGGCCATTGTCACCTGCATCCCCTCTGACTGGCACTGTCCTGGTGGCAGTAACTAGGATCCATCAGACAGGGCCATGCAGCCGAGGCAGACCACACAGGCCTGGAGCTGGCTGTGGAACATTCTGGAACAGATGCAGAGACAGGGTTTAGCATCCTGCCCCAGGGGTTTTTCTGAGCTAGTCTGTTCTCACTTAGCAAGTGGGTGGGAAGGGAATTTGTTCCTCAAGGTGGTGAAATATTCCATGTCATCCAGGGTGAAAGTTTCACTGTTATAGGAGTGACACAGCTCTGAGCCTGTGTAGAAATGGATGAAACAGAACCATATGTCTGAAGACCTGGGCTCTCCCACTGCACGGCCAAGTGGCAGGAGCTTGGGCACTGGAGTCCTCTGTAAGCCTCCACTTCACCACATGAGCCATCCTTTAGTGTGACAATGATACCTGTAGGCCTCCTCCAGAGGATGCTGAGAGGTCTGGGTGGATCAGTGAACGTCGAACTGTCCGGTACTTTTAATTTTATGCAAGTAACAGCCATGTCTGGACCAGGTGAATGACGCTCCCTTGTAAAAGGAGCAAGGGTGGAGAGGGCACAATGAACAGACCTCACAATACAAACTAGAGGCCAGTGGGTGGCTCAGCAGGTAAAGGCGCCTGCCTCCAAGCCCGACAGCCTCAGTTCCGTCCCTGGAACCCCCGTGGCAGAAGGAGAGAACTGACTCCCGGAGGTTGTCCTCTCAACTCATATGTGGGCCATGGCACTCACCACGCATAAATAAATGCAGTAAGAGATTTTGAGCCACGTTGGCTCTGTGCCTAGGAGCACAGTTCTGCTCCCCTCTTTGAGGGGGCTCCCCACCATGGAGCACAGGGCTCTCCAATGTGTGTTTTCTTCTCTGTAAAATGGGGACAACAGCATCGCATCCAGGAGGTGCCATGAGGAAGCCAGGTTTTCGGGGATGCTGTGTGGGGTCATTGGGATCACAGGGTACACTCACAGCCACCTGTTGGGAGAGGACCTAGGACAGTCCTGCCAAGCATTATGTGCTTACCAACACTCGGCATCTCCCTTGATCACTTTCTCTCTATTGTTTTAGAAACAGAGTTTCTCAGTGATCCCGGGGCTCACCAATTGGCTCTACAACCTATAAGTGTGGCCTTATTTGAAAGAGGGGGCTTGTACATATTATCCAGGTTGCCACAATGTATGTAGGGTGGGCCTTAAATCCAACCAGTGGCACCTCTATCAGAGGGAAAAAAATGGAAGTCTGAAAAATACAGTCTTTTAGGAAAATATCCCTCAAAGGCAGAGTGACGCATCTGTAGCCACAAGCCAAGGGTATCCAGAGCCACCAGCAGGTGAGTTGGCAGAGGAGACCTTCCCCTAGAGTCTTCAGGGACAGTGCAGTCTGTTCACACGGTAATTTTGCACTTCTGGACTTCAGAACACGGAGGAAACATGGTTCTGACCACCCAACCCCATACTTGTAGAGCACTGGAAACTACCAGAACAAGATGGGGCTAGTGCCAACCTATCAGGTCTCCACAGAGCACTGAGCATGGACAAGGAGGCCTAGGGGAGATAGAGCCTGAGACGACCTGCTGGGGAATGCAGGGGTTGTGGGGCCAGTGTGGCTGGCTCTTGCTTATTTCCTTCAGAGACACTCCTGTGTCTTGGCCCCCTGAGGAAGTGAATTACCTGTGTCTTCTTCCACGGGCACCAGCTCACCTGTGACCTTAGGTGGATCTTGGGCAGGCAGGTTTCTCCCTTTGGGACCCACGTTCCCTGCTGGGCACAAGTCTGGAAGCAGGAGCTGAGCCCAAGGGAGGCTTCCCTCTTGAGTGTCTCCTCTTAGCATTCTGTGGTTCAGGATTAGACTGAGCAGAATGTTCTTGGCAAGAAAAATGGGTTTCTGAGCTCTTGGGAGAAATATGCCTATAGACACAGGAGTGGGCTTGGCTGAAGACAGACTCAGTCTCGTAGGGAAGGTGGAAAGGACAGAGGTGTCCCCAATGTGGTGGTCATGGTATTGGCAGGGGCCACAGAAGGTCGGCTGGTGGAGCTCTGACTTGGTCACCCTGCTTTGCTTATCACTGGGCATGGAGAGTGGATGTACCTCTCAGGGCACAGGTAGCCCATGTTTCTACAGAAGGAAGACTCCCAGCTGGAGGACAGTGGAGGGAGTTCCAATCCTGAGATACATCAGGCACGGTGGGGGTAGGGTGGGATGCCACAGTGTGGGCAGGACCAGGAACTGCACTTCCTGCGTCCTTGAGAAGTGGGGATTGCTGTGTCCATACTAAAGCTGAGTCCATGTTCCAGGGGCAGTGTATGGGTTGGACAAGCTGCCTGTCCCAAGGGTCACATTGGGAGGATCTTGGGAGTTAAAGTGGTGTCTGGACTTGAGGATCCGGGTAGTAGAGAGCATGGTGGGTGTCTGAACATGAGCATAGAGCATGAAGGAGGTGCCAACATACGCCTGGGTAGTGGAGGGAAGACTAGTAAAACACAGTAATAATATTCTGCTTCTCTCCCTTGTATGGTGTGTGTGTGTATGTGTGTGTGTGCGGCCTGGAACTCACAAAACTCTGCTTGCTGAAATCAAAGACATACCATTATGCCTGCCCATGCCGTTATTCTTATTTTTTAAGTGTGTGTGTGTGTGTGTGTGTGTGTGTGTGTGTGTGTGTGTGTGGTGAGTGCAGGTGCATGCAGAATCCAGAAGAAAGCATTAAATCCCCCTGGATCTAGAATTACAGGTAGCTGTGAGCTGCCCCACATGGATACTGGCAAACAAACTTCTGTAAGCCCAATACAGAAATGCGTTTTCTTAGCCACAGGGCCATCTCTCCAGGCCAGAGAGGTAATTCAATAGTAACACAAAGTAACATCACATTAGAGGTCCAGGCAGCATGGTGTCTTGCCTGTCTTTGCATCCTGTTTTTTAAAGACAATATGAATCTGAAGATCAGGATGGAGCAGGGGCTTGCCCAGGATGGAGGGACGTGGGGAGTCCAGGGTGAAGTCAAGTGAAGGAGACCGTGTGAATTGAGCAGGCTGGAGGGTGACCCCTGGGGATGCTTGTGGGAACAGTGAGGAAGCTAGGGGCAGGGCCTTACTTGGGTTGTGGAGCATTGCATTATTTTCTTGCTATAACCAAGCACCCGACAAAAGCAACAAAGGGCTGGTTTATTTTGACTCATACATCAGGGGTGCAGTCATCATGGTTGTGAAGTCATGGCAACAGGAGCTTGAGATGGCCAATCACCTGGCCTCCACAGTCGGGAATAATACAACATGTCCGTCTGTGCTCAGTTATTTTTCCCTTGTCTTTGGGGCATTGTCTCATGTAGACCAGGGTGGCTTGACTACTGAGAATGACCTTCATTTCTGATCCTCTCGTCTCTACCTCTCTACATGCTGGAATTGCAGGTATGTGCCATTATACCTGGCTTGTGCAGTGCTGGGAATCGAACCCAGGGCCTGTGAATATTAGGTAAGTACTCTACTAGCAGAGCTACATCCCCAGCTCCAACTTTCTCCTTCTTACTCAGTTTAAAGTCTCATACCGTGGGATGCAGCTGCCTACATTTGGGGTGGATTTTCCCTCTTTAGTTAAGCCTTTCTGGGAAGCCCTTGTAGACATATGAAGAGTCGTGTTTCCATGGTGATTCTAAATCGGTCATGTTGATAATGAAGATTAACCACCATGGGCACCAGCACCCAGCTAGAGCCAGGAAGGCACTGGTGCACAGCTTTACTGCTGTGCAATCTTGGGCAAAGCGTTGCACCTCTCTGATCTCTGTTTCCTTGTCTTTAATTATACGTAACACACATCTCAACCCCCTCCCTCCAAAAAACCCAAACAAACAACAACAACAACACTAAAAAACCCAGTTGGCTACAATACAGTCCTCACCTCTTGCTTCAGGTGATGACATCCAGGGACAATATTTCAGATCTTTCAGGCCTCTTCTGGAGGAGGGTGTGGCCCCCTGCCAAAAGTCTGGCAGCCGCGCTTGGGCCTGATACCAGTCTTTCTGCAAATGCCAGGCATGTACTGGGGACCAGGGGACACTTGTTGTGGTGCAGTGCAGAGGCAGAGACCGCTCCTAGTCATGGGTGGGAGGGGGGAGGCCTCAAGGCCCTGGCAGTGGGGGTGGTGGTGAAGCCGCTAGGAACAGGCTGTGAGGGGCGGCAGCCCTTCCATTCCTGTGAGGAAGGGGAAGACTGTCTCTGCTCCAGATGCGTGAGACGCCAGGCTTCATTACTTTCAGGGATTCTGTCCATGTTCTTGCTCTCGATTCAATTAAAACAATCTGAGGTAATTAATTGAATTTGTTATTTGATTAATAAAGATAGAAATTTGGCCAAGTTGCTGTGAAGTAGGAAGCCATGTTGAGACCTGAGGAGAGAGGCTCCTGGAAGCCTCACTCTGTTCCTGCCTGCCTTTTGGCATGATCCCCCTCATTCCTCTTGTGGACCCACTGTGTCATCTCTGAGCCCCATCATTCCAGCTGGGGACAGGGTCTCAAAGTCAGGAGTATGAACTCTAAGAGGTGATGGGGTGGCCAGGGACCCGAGTGATCTGTGGGAGTTGGGGAGGAGCCTCCAGACATCTGCAAGGGGCTTCATGTAGAGACAGCAGAGGCAAGGGCGGGCCAGAAGAGTCTGAGTATGTGCAGGAAGTCTTAGTCAAGTGCAGAGCAGTGAGGAGGGGTAGGAGTAAGTCCAGGGTGGGTTTGCTGTCTGCCCAGAGAAGGCCTTGCCCAAGAGGAAGCTGCCAGCTGGGGGTCAAGAGTTAAAACTCTGAGGGTCTCATAATGTGGCCCAAGCCTAGCAACTCCACAAGTTTATATCTGTAAATTTGATTAAAGTGCATAGATTCAAAAGACAAATGAAAAGCTTCATATCATACACAAAGGTTGACTTCCTTCAATATGTAAAGAGCCCCTCTGAGTCAATAAGAGAAAAACTCCCACGTAAGAAAAGTAGAGAAAGGTTGGAAGGGACAGTTTGCAGGAATGGGAACCACAAATGATATTTGTTTACTTATTCATTTATTTTTTAGTTGGTTTTATGAGAGAGGGTCTCATGCAGCCCAGGATGACCTCGAATAATTGATTTGACTGCTTCTACCTCTGAGTTCTGGGATTATAGACGTGTACCATCTCACCCAGGCTACAAACGTCTTTTAAACATATGCAAAGTTGCTCATTCTCTTTCTGTAATGAGGGAAATGCAAATTAAAAGTGGGCAGAGATTCCATTTTTATACTTAAGATTGAGCTAGGTGTTGTGTGACACTATTCCTGGGGAGACTTGAACAAATATCTACTCACCCCAGATAGAGAACTAGGGACAGACCAAAGTAAGGACACCTCCAGAGTCCAGCATGGCGAGAAAGCCAGTCTGTTGTAATTGCTTACAGAAGTTTAGACTAGAGATTACTTACAGAGGCAGTTGTGTCACCAAAAGCCCACCCCTGGGCAACAACTCAGGAAAGCTGGAACCCTGGATCTTTCTGCACAACTTGCAAGCAGCTCCACAGGCCAGAGTCTCCTCTCCTTGACAGTCCTCTTGGCTGATAGAACCTAGGGAGAAGGAGGAGCCTGTGAGTCCAGTAAGCTTCAGAGACTTCCTGGTGCCTTATGTATTTGCTTCCTGGGTCTTAATGAACTTTGCCTTAGAACTTCGTAAGTCTTAAGGAGCCTCCATCAAGGATACAAAGTTTCAATTCAGACAAAATTGATACACAGTACTCCACCCTTCCTCCAACTCTTCCATTTTCTGCCTCTGGTTCATGGTGTTCTCTGAGGAATGATGCAGATGTCTCAGCCTTGGGCTACTCTGCCACAGCAACAGTTGCTTGTTCTCAAGAGTGTCTCTGTAGCCCACCTCCATCTGTAAAGAAAACATCCTTTTATTGTAGGTGGCAGTTGTGCTCTGTAACTGGTCTTAAGCACAGCGGCATTTTGCAGTTTGACAGACATATCATATCCATTTAACAAAGCAATTGCTGTTGCTTTCCCTTCCGCCAGTTGTTTTTTTCCTGGTTCACAGAATCTGCAGTGATTTGCCTTCTGTGGAATAGGCTTTAAATCCAACCAGAAAGTTGTTGGTTGTATCCAAAACAGTCTGTGCCGCTAGTAGGCCTGTAGACACATTTGATATCTAGATGGTGTTGCATTCAGCATCTTCAACCAAGTAGGACTGTTAGTGAAACTCTCCCCCCAGCAACCTTCGATATATCTTTTAACATTATGAAAGTCAGCCAGCAGGGAGTGAGCTTCCAGTTCAGTCCCAGCCTGATTTCTCTGTCATGTGTCCAGCTCATGTATTGTCTTCAGCCATAGGAACTTATCTAATTCTGGTATGCAGCCAACAGCAGCGGCAGTGATCTTACCATTTGGGGGGCTTGGAGATCTTCCTGGCCCGTAGTTCATGGGGAGGTTACCCACTCCTGCAGTTTTTACTTAACCATTTTATGGCTTTGGACACTTGTCTTTCTCCAGATATGCAAGACGTCCTCTGAAAAATTTTTACTGTTGTTTTTACCTTTTTCTCCCCTTAGACGTTTGTGAAAATCTGTAAGACACTCTGGGGTTAAGAGCCCTTGTTCTGCAAAGGACCTGAACTTGATTCTCAGCACCGACATAGGGCTCACCACCTCCTTGGACACTAGGCACACATGTGATGCACAGACATACATGAAGGCAAAACACTCACACATGAAGCAATAAAATAAATCTAAAAATGTCCCTGAGACACTCAGGCAGCATTGTGTGACAAGACCTTTTCATACAGAGAGTGTGTAGGATCTGTGAAGGCCACTGTTGTCTATTTCAAGTAGTCAACTTTGAGGGTTCAGAGAATACTAAAAAAGAAATGTTAGCAAGGCCCAGTATGGTGTGAAAGGGCCTCACCACCTTTATCAGTTCTTCAGTCAGAAGAGTAGTGTTGGGAATAGTGACAGAGACAGGGACACTGCCCCATTTGGCCTTCCATGATCCATACACATTGTCCCACCTGTGACGGTCTCAGCGGGGCTGACTTGTGTTGCTTCATCTGGCTTAGGTCAGCTTCACTCTAAGCTGCTGTGCCTGCTGCTGGAGCTGGACCCCTTGTCTGGCAGGCTCCTGGCCACAGCTGCGCCCCCTAACCGTCTGTCAGCTCCATCCGACTGCGAAAAGGCCCCGTCTGAGTGAGCAGACACTTCTTCCAGCTACTTAGCACACACTCTGGAGTGGGGTGGGGTTGCCCATCCCTAGGACAAACTTAATTTTCTTTTCTAATAATTGGTGCTCAGGCTTTCTAACCTTCCTGGAGTTGACTCACACAACAGCAGTTGGCTTTCTTTGGATTTTTTCCCCTAGGAGCTCCAACTTGTCCCATTTGCCTCTAAGTGGTTTGTGCAGACCTCTTTGTTCATCTTGTCTTTCTTTCATTCTTGGTTGCTTTGATTCTAAAATGAGGCATGGGAAATAAACACCTTACAAACCTCGGGAAGTCCCTGAAGCTTCCTAGATTCACAGGAACCCTTCTTCTGCAAGATTATGTGAAAGTGAAGACTTCTGAGAGGGGACTCTCCCACCTGTGGAGCTGCCAGCGAGTCAAGGCAGGGCCCTCCTGAAGATGGGTGCTGACAAAGGACTAGGACCTGGGCACAGAGGGGTGAGTGAGTGAGGAGTTAGGATAAGTAGAAGGCAGATGTGTGGCTCATGACTACAATCCGCAAACTAGGAAGGCTGAGACAGGAGGATTGCTTTGAGTTTGAGACCATTCAGGACTATCAGCATGCAGGCCAGGGAGATCTGAACACATTGTATACTATGTGCTGTGGTCTACAGCTGGGTCTCCAGGACGGAGCTAGACAAGTGTTTTGTGATTAAAACCTAGTTAAGAGGGCTGGAATTAAAGGCACACACCTTTAATCAGGAAGCAGAGTGGATCTCTGTGAGTTAGGTCTCCTTGAAATGCTATAGTCATTCTAGAGCTTGGGCCATTGGCTTATCTTCCCTGAACCCCAGTTCTCTTAGCTACAAAACACTAAACAAAAGATGACAGCAGATGCTAGCTGATCTGTGTGTCTCTTGGGATTGTGATAATTAGGTGAGACAGTGTTGATAGAAGCGTGGTGATCTGTGTGTGATCTTCTGCTGTTACTACCCCTGTGATACAAGGTGACTTAGTCTGCGTGTTCAGGGAAGGGAGCAAACAGCCATGCCTCGGCTAGGGAAGTAGAGGCCCACAGGGGCGAGCTGGCCACGGTTACTCTGGGAAGAGCACTCATATCTGAAGCACAGGAGACCAGATGTACTTCTCAGTTTAGATTTTGAAATGTTTGCACATACAGAATAAATATCTTAAGTGAGACTCAAGTCTGAACCTGAAATTCATGGATGCTTCCTATATGCCTCACACACAGTCTGGATATAATTATAGACAAATTTTAAATGACTTGGGTGCAAAATGGAGATTCATGGTTACTTTTTTGTCTCTGTGACAAAGATCCTGAGGAAGGCAGCTTAAGGAAGGGTTGGTTCACTGTGGCTCACAGTTGGAGGGTGCTGTCCATCACTGTGAGAAGATGCCACAGTATGGCGCCAGGAGGCAGCCAGGCACAGTGTGTCCACAGTCAGGAAGCAGAGAGAGGTGAGCTCAGCTTGCGTTCTCCTTCTTAGTCCCAGATGACGTCAATCAGATGGTGCTGCCCACATCCAGGGTGGACTTCCCACCTTGACCAACCACTCTAGAGAGTCCCTCACAGACACATGCAGGGGCTGTCTCCTCAGAGATTCTAAGTCCTGTAAAGTCAGCTGTTGACATTAGCCATCGCACATGGTGTGGAATTTTCCCTGTATGGTGTCATGTTGGTGCTCAGAACACTTTTGGGTTTGGGGATGAGGGATGCTGAGCCTGAGTTTACTGGGCACCGTGCTAAGTGCCTCTCCCAGGACATGACAGGGTATGGTGCTAGCGGGTGCATGAGACACCCTTCCCATCCATCAGACATAGTGACTGCTATACCACCTTTGAGCCAAACCCTTGTTACAGGTGAGAGAACTAAGGCTCAGAAAGTCTGAATGGCATCCCAAGGTCACAGTGCTCCAACAAGACATCTGGACAGCTCTTCCTTTCCTTGCCTTGTCTTTGCCCCAGCTATAGGTCAGGACAGGAGCCTCTGACCTGTCTGTGTTTCTTCCTCTTCCTCCACACCGATGCCTAATCCAGCACTGCAGTGTTTGACTTAGAAGGCAACCCTCTCTCCTTAGGCAGACATCACTTCCATGCTCATCTCCCCTCTGTGGCTGCAGCGTGCGGTGTTAACTGACAAGGAGAGATGGTTTGAGAAAGAAGCAAGCTCATTATCTGGCAGAAGACTTAGCACTTCCTGAGATTCCACAGCACCCTTGGATGTAGCTGGCTCACCTCTAATTGCTGTCCCTGATACTTTTCTTCCAGAACTGGAAAACTGAGCCCGTACACGGGGCAGGAAAAATTGAAAGTCTCAGGACCCAGTGACCTAGCAGGTGATGGAGAGGGCCTGGGCCTGGTAGTGGCCTGGTAGAACCCTACCTCCTCCATCCTGTGCCACCCTGCCCCCTACCGGACATCATCCATCAGCCCTGCTTAACCATGGTGGTCCTAACCACAAAGGTCTCCTCATCCTTTTGACTCCAGGTAACGGGGGTATCCAGGGAGGGGGAAGCCATGTTGATCCTGAGGTGCCACCCTGGCCTCCACAGATGCCCAGAACCCAATTAAAGCCTCCATTAGAACCGAGGAAAGAGATGCAACTAAAAGTAATGGAGAGGGATGCACCTCTAATTAGACACACAGTCACACACCCTTATCCTTTCTAGACAAATGCCAGTGATCAAGAAGAGAAGTAATTAAAACTTACCAGTCCTACACAGGCTGTGCACAAGGCTCCTGAGTCCTGACTGGTTCTCTCCACTGGTCAAACCTCTTTGGGCAGGAGGAAGATTGGAGGAAAGACAGCAGAATTGGATTCCCTGGTTCAAAGGCCTTGAGAGGGTGGACTCCAGCTGAACTACTGTCCAGGGACCACAGACTGGCGGAGGAGACAAGCTGAGAACTCTGGAACAAGATCAGATCTCTCTAGAAATTTAAAAACACCTAAGTGAAGCCAGGGATCAAATCTCAGCACCGGAGAGGTAGAAACAAGAAGACAAGAAGTTGAAAGTCACCCTTGGCTCCATAGCTAGTTTTCAGACCAATGAGGGATACAAGAGATCTTATCTCAAAAGACTAACAAACCCTGCAGTGCATTTGATGCTACAGACAGTTCATTTAAATACTGGGACATCTGGTCTTTTAAAGAAAAAACTCAATCTGACAACTCCTAGCCGGTTGTCGTGCCCAGCAACAATTCTCACTGGTTGAAGTTAGGCAAGAGGTTGTGAGCCTAGCCTTTAATGGCTGAGCCATCTCTCCAACCATGATGATAAGGTTGATGACTACCTTATATGCCATCCTAGAACCTTCATCCAGTGACTGATGGAAGCAGAGACAGATACCCACATCTAAACACTGAACTGAACTCCTGGAACCCAGTGACAGAGAAGGAGGAGTGATGAGCAAAGGAATCAAGACCATGATGGTGAAAGCCACAAAGACAGCTGACTGGACAAGGGGGAGCTCTTGAACCCCAAACTGATGGCTGAGAGGCCAACAGGGGACTGATCCAGACTCCATGAATGCAGTGTCAGTGAGGAGGTCTCAGAAATCTCTGGGGCCTTGGGTAGTCGGTTAGTGTTTACCACAGCGCACAAATGAACTTTGGGAGCCCATTCCACATGGAGGGATGCTCTCTTAGCCTGGACACATGATGAAATGATAGACTCTGGAGATCCCCCCCCCCAAGGAGGGCCTCACCCTCCCTGGGGAATTATGTGGGGGCTGGGGGAGCTGGTGGAGGGGCAAGGGAGGAGGGGTGGGAGAGGGAGCTGGGGTTGACATGTGAGGCATGCATGTTTCTAATGTAAATAAAAAACATATTGAGAAAAAAACAAAACAAAAAGTTAGGCCAGAGGCAGATCCCCAGTACACCACTGTCTGCCCAGCTGTGCCACCTGTCAGGCACACAGCCCCATATGAGTTCTGGAAGCTATCATCTGGGCCTTCAACCTGTAGGTGAAGAGCAATGCCAATGTTCACTCTGACCCCTCTCTTCCTCCACACATGTGCTCCTCGGTGGTCCTCTGCCTGAGGAGGTTTTCCTCATTTTGGTTCAATGCTGTCTCTAACATGGAGCATCTCCATGGCAGGAACCATTCTGTTCTCTGGCCACTGGGATACCTACCATCACGCACAGTGCTTTTCCAATGTGTAATGGTCAACAAACCCCCATTCCAATCCCCCACTCCTGTGGGCTGGGAGCTCCTTAGGATCATGGACCAGGTCAGTTGGCCTTGTCCTTCTCCTTGGATGGGAAATAAAGGCAACTGAGAGCTTTGTGTCTGCCAGGTGGCTTAGGCAACCTGCCTGGGCAAACAGAGAGCAAGTGACTAGGGCCATCCCAGCATTCTCTGGCTCTGCCTTTATAGCTTTACCTTTTGTCCTGGCTTTTCACAGGTCCCAGGCTTGAGGCTGGAAATCAAGTACTGAAAGGGGTTTGGGAATTGGCACATCACATCATATTGCCAGGGAAGGGCCCCTGCAGTGGCCAAAAAATAAAAGCCACAGGAGTAGAAGGATGCGTGGAGTCCAGACACATAACAGCAGGCAGGTGTTCATGAAGTTTTTGTTGTTATTGTTGTTGTCTTGGTTTATTTTGTTAGTTTTTTGGTGTGTTTTTGTTTTTGCTCTTTTTTTTGAGACAGTATTATGAAACCTAGGCTGGCCTTAAACTCTCTATGCAATCAACAATAACCTTGACCTTCTTTTAAAAATATTTACTGGTTTATTTTAGAGGGTCTACATTAATTTTGTGTACACAATAAAGACACAGAGGCTTACAGTGGCTAGCAGAACTGGAGTACAGGTAGCTATGAGCCACCCTGTGGGTGCTGAGAACTGAACCCAGGTCCTTAGGAAGAGCAGTCAGTGCTTTTAACCACTGAGCCATCTCTCCAGCTCAGACATTGTTCCTCCTTCCTCTGCCTCTTGAGTGCTAGTATTTCAAGCATGGACCACCATTCCCGATTTGTGCTGGAGACTGAACCCCGGGTTTATTGCATGCTAAGCAAGCCCTCTACCAACTAAGCCACATCCCAGCTCTGGAAGGAGTTTTAAAAGCAGTGCCAGTGAAGGAATGGGTGGGCTGTGTGGTGACACGTGCAAACGAAACGATGCGTGTGACTATCATCAACTTCTGTGGCCTGGCTACATCTCAGCCTCATGGAGCCACGCCCAGCCTGCATGCACACCAGTGTCCTCACACGACAATAGCATCCAAAATTTGTTTTCACTCTTTTTTGGAGACCGGGTCTCACTATGTAGCTCTGGCTGTTCTGGAACTCACTATGTAGATCAGGCTGGTCTTGAACTCACAGTGATTCACCTACCGCTGCCTCCCGAGTGCTGGGATTAAAGCTGTGCACCACCACTGCTCGGCCCACTATTTTTTAAATAGTTAAACATGTTTTGCATCATCCAGCAGTCCTGCTCCAGACACCATCCAAGAGCAGAAAATGCCCACATTCACACTAATACTCGTTTCTGATTAGAGAAGCATTGATCGCAATGGCCTCCAAGTTAAAAATCTGCACAAACACACATTCCACTTTCGAGTGTGTGAACAGAATGCAGCAACTTCCATTCAGCTGCAAGAAGTGTATTCATTTGTGGATGAATGAGTCAGTGAATGAATGAATGTGGCAAATGGTTTTTTTTTCTAATGCCTGGTACTTGATTGGTAAAGAACCAACCCTTCATTTCTTCCTCCTGCTATTTGCCTTCATTGTAGCTCATATTTCCTGGGGTTCTACTTTGTGTACCATAATGTCCCAGTGCTGGGGACACAAGGGAGTGCAGGACAAACTCTTCCTTCAGGCTGTTTTCTTATGTGGGCAGAAAGATAAGCAACAGTAGTAACTAACAAGGAAACAGCAAGGCACCTGTAGTGAAATCAAAGGGAAGAACGGGGGTGAGGGGCAGGACTCACTGGGGAAGGAGAGGAGGGGCAGCACTCACTGCAGAAATGCTGCTGGAGTGGTGTCTGAAGGAGGAGAGATCTAACAGCTAGGAAAAGTATCTTGGGTAGTAGGAGCCACACTGCAACGGTCCCGAGGCAGGAGTTAGCTGGGGTTTCTGAGTGGGAACGGCAGTGGTGGGGGGGCAGAGAGGTGACAGGGAAAGTCAGAGGCCATGGTGAGGACTTGAGTGGGTGTTCTGTGTGATGAGGAGCCTTCTGGGAATGTCTGAGCTCTTCACACGCTTAGCCCATTACACCTTCAGCATCAGGTGCTCATCTGCCTCCATTCTTGTTTTAGAGGGAGGGTGAGCCAGACTCAGGAACGTGATTATCCACCCTCCTAAAGAGAGATGGAGAAGCCCAACCCGGGGCTGACACCCCCGGCTGAGGGTAGGGAAGAGGACGCTGTGAACTCAGACAGACCTGGATGCAAAGGTGTGGAGCCACCAGGCATTTAACCTGTAAACTGGGGATAACGGTGGCCTTCTAAGTCACAAGGTCCTCTAGGCAAAGCACTTTCGTGGCAGGTGACTTTTCCTTTTGAGCTGAAGGCAGCTGCTCCACCTGTCATCTCCTCCTCCCAGCAATGACTGATATGGCCTTACAGATAGAATCTCACTGCCAACCCTTTCTTCTCAATGGGCCCAATTGGCCTATGTAGTACTGGCCTGTTTCCCTCCAGCCCTGCCCGTTCATGGCTGCCGTCCATGGTCTCTGCCCACTGATTTCAACTTACCTTCCACTTCCGGAGAGCTTTCTTGGAGGCCTGAGGCAGGTAGGACCACCCTATGACAGTGGAGACCTGTGACACCAGCCTCATCCCGGGCCACCTGCAGAGAAGGCAGAGGAGACCTTGGCAGGTAGTCCGGTGCTTTGAGAGCTGGCAGCCAGGCTGAGGCTGGAGTCGTTCGGGAGACCCCAAGGGCTGAAGCAGATGGCTTCTTTCAGAGCCTAATTATCCACCTGCCCGGAGTCAGCAGGAGCTAAGCATGGCAGGGTCTGTATCTCTTTTCCCTGGAAAGGGAGAAGAGGGCTATGGCAGGCAGTCCTGGGTGTGGCTGGGCAGAGGCCATCCGTGTGGCACTGGTGTGCCAGGCTCACTTGCGCTCCCCATGATCTTCCTTCACCCTGGGTGCTTGGGAGCCCTGGCTCTGTTTGATTCATGCTGGGTCTCCAGTGCCCTGCACGTAATGTGGTACACAGTTGGTGCTCAATAGTTGGTTGCTCAAAAGAATGAATGATGAGTCTGCTCTCCACTGTTTTTCTTTTCCTCCAGGTCCACTTCTGGGCAAAATTGAGATGGATAGTTTATCTCAGCGTCCTACCTTGATTTCCCACGGCTGTCTTCTGTCCTTATTTGGAAGCCTATGACCTCTTCTATCATTGGCTACCTGAGAAAATGATTAATGTATTCAATTTCTACCAGACTGAAAATGACTGATAGCATTGTCATCTCCACATATATGTGTAGATAAGCCCTAACTCAATAGGATGAGGTTTAGTGCCAAAGCTAGGCCCCTTTATTGGGCCTCATCTCTGGGTAACTCCTGTGTTTGTCTACCGATCTTGTGTGCATAGCTCAGTGGCCCTTGGAACTGCAGGGGTAAACTCAGTACTCCATACAAAAAGGTCCTCCAGTCTCTACTAGAGAACCCAGGTGACAGGGATTCCTACCTCACATGGGGCCATCCTTGCTGGATTGAGACTTCCTGCCAAGTGGCCATCTTACCCAGGCCTGTCCTCTGGAGAGGACACCGAGTAGCACACCCTCAAAATAAAGACTTCTGGACATGCACGTGTCTGTCTGTCCTTCTCCAACCCCCTAAACAAGATGGACAGTATGGTCAGCCCAGCCTCTCAGGAAGGCTCCTGAGGACTGGGTTAGTCATATGCTGAAAAACACCACCAATGTCTAGTGATAGCTCACCGCTGGCCAGGCTCTGTCATTTCCAGGACTGACCTGTGCAGTCTTCACCCAGGGCCACACTCTGGACCCTGCCACCAGATCCATTCATGAGGACACATGGCAGAGGGATGTGCAGTAATATTTGCAAGGTGAGAGAGTCCAAAGCAGCAAAGGATTTAAACCCAGATTGTCTGATTTCATGAATTTGCCTGAGCTCTGCAGATGCCTGACACTGCCCCCCCATGGTGTGTGTGTGTCTGTGTGCCTGTGTGTGTGTGTGTGTCTGTGTCTCTGTGTGTGTGGCCTTGGATTTAAATTTATTTCCCTTCCTCCCCCTTTTCATCTTCTTCCTTTTTCTGAAACAAATTCTCAAGGAGCCCATACTAGCCACACATTTACTATGCTGCTAAGGATAACCTTGGACTTCTGACTTTCCAAGTGCTAGGATTGCAGGCATGAGCCAC